ATCACTTTTTATCCATTTAACACATCCTTGCTGAATAAAAGTATTCTAAAAGTTTCTTTTAAAAAAGAAGAAAAAAAGAAGAAGAAGAAGAAAAAATAAATTTACTGACCCCAAACTTTTTTTATTTTTTTTAGTTGTGTATATTTAACAAAATTTTAATTTTTAATAAATACTGTTCTTTTTAACCTTTTATTTATCAAAGAATCCTGCAAAATATCACAAAAAAGAATGATTATTCTCAATTTAGAGTTTGTTATTCGTATGGTCTAGGTGTTCATACGGCATATGCCTTAAATACGGGGACAAACTGCGTTCCGTATAGCTTCTTTGATGCCTTAAATACGGGACGATTCCGTATTATACGGAACGGTTGGCAACCCTAGTCCCTGAACTCATTTTAAGACACGGTATGGTGGAATATATTTTCAACCCAGAGATCTGTAAGATTAAATAATGGCAGAGAATAAGAAAGAGGCGGAAAACTATTTCTTAGAAATTGAGAAGCTCTATCATGACCAAAATCTAGAGGTGCCTGATCTGTTGCTCTGCAGGCCAGGGAGAAAAACCAACGCACCTCAGTGAGTTCACCCTGATCTGATTTGACCTGCTGGAGCCTCATTGAGGTTTCTCTCTCTCTCTCTCTCTCTCTCTCTCTCTTTAGCAAGAAGCACAAACAACTGTATAAAAGGACATCATTACTGTTAGGGTGTTGGAGGGGAAAATACCTTCTCACCGCTTAAATTATTTTCTCACCTATTTCCTAACTTTCACTGTCGACTCCATGGAAACGCTGTATGAGTCCACTCTTTCACTGTAAATGAAACCGGTGCTACTTTCACATTTCGCATCATTCCGCGGACTCGCTTTCTGCCGTTTCATACAAGCAAAACTGCCCCTATTTTGGTATCTTAATTATCGATTGTAATGAAAGCACAGAGCACTAACATAAATATTTTTGTAATATAATTTCAGATTTTCTTGTTGTTAAAGCAATTGTTTTGTACATCGCAGTGGACTATCTTTAACAATTTAACAGTTGTATATCTACTTTTATATTCCACAGAAAAAAGGAATTCATAAGGTTTGTAACAACATAAGTGTGAGTAAATTATGAGAGAATTTTTGTTTTTCAAGTAAAAAGTTCCATTTACTTTTGAATAATAAATAATAATCCCATCAAATAAAGGTTCCAAAAGGTTTCCACAGCCATGCCATAGATGAGAAATTTTCCCCAAAGAACCGTTCGGTAAACCTTTTTTTTTTTTCATAGTGTGAAGAACATTTTTCATTAGGCTATAAATAACAATTTGTGCAATGGAAAGTTTCCATAATGCAAATAAAGAACCTTTTTTATTATTATTTATTTATTTAGTTTTAAGTGTTGTCACAACATACTATGATAGGATAAATTGTATACATTTTTTTGACTGTGAAAGTCTGCATGAAAGAAAGAGTTTGTCTACAAGAATAACAAATTATGATTATGACTTTCAGGCTAAGAAATATGCAATAGCCTACACACTGACACTTGTACAGGTTCTTTAAAATCAAATGTAAAAATGATAATTCATTAACTACAAAAGGAATTTCATCCAAATATGAAATAACTTACCCTATCAATTTATAGCTTCAATAAAAAGTGAATTACATACTGCCTGTGGTCAATGTCAGGTTTTCAGAAAGCAAGGCAATGGGCTTCTAGACTTCGAGTAATTGGAGCTTAACGTCATGGTGACTGCCCTTGGGCCCCAGTTTTACATAAGCTTAAATTACAGTAATGCAGTCACCCATGCCCAGCATGTTGTCATCGCAAACCATAAAACATAAAATAAAACATTCATCTAAAACACGCCTCTGCTTCTCACGCAAACAGACTCTTCTGAGAGTGAGCTGAATTACGTTTACAGCCTCAGCATTGAATTAATCTAATTTAAATCTACACTAATGAGAATATTGCAGTGAGAGACAACAGAGTTCTTGCTTTATTTAATTAAGAACAAGAAATTAATCCTTAAGAGGACTTTTCCCAGTGCTCTGAGAAGCGTTATCATTTTAAAAACCACCTTCCACAGAATCGCATTGTTAATAGCCTACGGAATCATGTCAGATCCTTTTAGAAATGCTTTTCACTCAAACGTTCCTCTAGGATGTTCTGCCGTTACTTTATTTCTCTGTTCCACACTCTATCAATTTCACAGAAAGTTAGTAACGGTCTCTCATACTGTCCTCTGCTTGTACGCAAAGATTATTTTCAAGCTTTGTTGTGCAACTCTGTTTTTGAAAAATTACTGTCATAGTGTCACCACGGACAAGAGTCATCGTAAGCAGC